TTTTCCCCGGGATTTTAATGGTTGATCAAAGGAGAATAAATGTGGATCATGACTTTGTCTACATCTGAATGAAGTCTTCTGCCATAAAATCTTGTTCTGTAGTGGCTCTTCAGTCCCATTGAAGTGAACAGTTGATACTGGAAAAATGGCAATTTTTTGAACTTAAGTGACAGAATGTTGTTTAAAAAAACTAACAAGATCTAAAGTTGTGGCAAATCAGTAAGAACTTTTTTTCCCATTTGATTTGTGAGACAAAAGTCTAAGAGATAATTTCCTCTTCTTTTTCTAACATCCATACCACTGAGTTGTGATTTACTTTTGCTTAGTTTTCCTTGTATACGCACTACAGGTAAATTCTTACATCTCTAGATGCAAGAAGAAAATAGGCTTTCTAATGTGGTTTTTTTCCACCTGTTCTGCAAAAAAATATTTTTGCATGCATACACCTTTGCTATTTCCACACTGCTGTACTTGTTATGATCTCCAAAAGGATATTTCCATTGCTAATAAGATTAGAAATACCTTTGCTGTGAGATATAAATAATTCATTGTTTTCCACATCATCTGCTTGTGAGCAGAGAAACGTGTGTCTTTTTATTTCTTAAAATATCTAACAAAACTCCCTACATGTGGCTCTTTTCTTTGAGATGTTTTCAGCCACTGTTCAGTTTTTCATTTTTTTTTTTTTTTTAACTCCACTTATTTGGGGGTTTGGGATGTTGTTGGGTTTCGGGAAGGTTTTTTGTGTTTTGTTGTGGAATTTTTTGTGTTGGGTTTTTTGGATTATTTTTTAATAATTTTTTATTTTTAAGCACCTGACCTCAGTGTATGGTATCTATATGGTACTCCGTAGCATCTGATTTGGTACAATCTGTGAAGTAAAAACGAAACTTCTACTATATGCTTCTGAGCTCTAATGTAACAAGGCCCAGAGACATTCAAATATCACAGTCGTGGTGGCAATAAAGCAGCATAATATTAACAATAACTTTGAAAAATGACAGTGGATCAAATCTAAAATTGACATAAAATCACTAGTCTCAAATAACAATGTCCATTACTCTAAAATACTTCTCAAGGCTTTTCTAAACATCCATTTACTGCATTCTTCAGGAATATAAGAATACACTAATCCACTGAAAACCAGTGACGGAATTTACAAAGGCAAATGGCAAAGGCTGGGTTGGACCAGCCCTATACTGAAATTACACTGATCCTGCAGATGGGCAGAAGCATAAATTCAGTAATTTGGTAAGCATGGAATAGAGCAGGGTAATAAACCAGGCACAAAGACTTCAAGGTGATCTGTTTGAGGAATCAGATGTTTATCATTGTTCCTATTTTTTTTACTACTCCCTTCCCTTTCTTCTCCTTTTCCACAGAGCTGATTTGCAGCATTTTCTTGATAATGTACTTTCTCAGGGCTACTTCCACATTCTTTTTCTCAGACTTGCAAGACTTGAGTCATATTAGTTCTATTTTCTTTTCTTTGTGTTTCAAATACTTCTGTATTCTGTAAAGTACCTGGGTATCAGTTTCCCAATAGTCTCTGTTTTATGGTTTTATGGTGGTTCTTTAAGCACATACATCACCTACTCACCAATTATTTACCATCTTTGGAGGTGCAACTGTTAGACAAGTATTTATTGGAATGGCTTAGATTTAAACTTTCATTTCTCTAAAAAAAATCAAACAAAACAACAATTTATTGACTGCACAGACAGGGACTAATCTTAAAAATCTTTTTAGTTTTATAAAAATCTACTATCCTCTAAGGTCTGTTTTCAAAGCCTTTATTTTTGGTGATGTTAAAACCAAAGCGGAACAGAGGCTTACTGGCCTGATCTGAATATCTTAGAATAAAGCATAAATACATTGTATAGCACTCTCCTGGGAATTAGGTAGAACAAATCTTTTGTGGATTATAATTTCAACTCCAAGATTTTATTCCCATAATACAGTGTCATAGTTCTGATTTTAGCAAGGAATTTTTTCTTTCCTTTCCCCCCCTACGTGTGTGCTCTGTGGATGAGCCATCAGGTAAAACAAAAGAATTGACCTGGTCCACTAAATTGCTGAGACATTAGTCTCCTAGCAACGAAGGGGAAGGAATTGGGGAAAGGCTAGGGTGTGTGGGTGGAAGGAGTTGGGGTTTGGGGTGTTGGAGCTCAGCTCTGGACCCAGAGGGGAGCCTGCTGCAAGCTGGAGACACTGCCTGTTTTTTTTTTTTTCCTTTGTCTCTTTCCTGTCGGAGGGGAGTTTGTTGCTGCTGCT